GTCTTTGTTTGCTGGAGCGTCACTCACGAGCTCATAAGTCCCATCTTATGTGAATTGATTTTTTCTCTCCCGCACGGTTTTTTTGCGATGGAATTTTTCCCTCCCACCCTAATTCAAAAGCGATTCTAGCTCCCTGGCTGCCACGGAAATCCTCGGCAGGCAGCCGCAAGGCGGGCTTCAAACTGCAACGCAGCATTCGTGATGAGCATATTCGAAATCCCTGCTTTTATTTTGCTGATCAGCGTCGGACGATTAGCACTATCGGTTTATTCACGCGGTGTCGATCGTCAAGTTTTCGGACCATTTCATACAATATTCACGTCCAAGTGGAGGCTAGCAAATTTTTAGGATTCTTCTGGGCAGGACGGCTCGTAAATTGGTCGAGTTTTTGCGTGCATGTATTCGACTGGTATGTTTGAATTCTCCGATAGCACTTCTTGACCAAATATTGCAGCGAACACAGTTTGTTGCAATCTAAAGAATTTGAAGCATCGATGAATAGCTTCAAAAACATTCAGGCAATAACACAAAACTGGACCTGATTTAGCAAGACGTCTGAATTGTTCAATTAAAACCAGCAAAATGCAGCGAAAAACAGAAAATGCTCCAGTGAACATGGTACGCATGCGTAGCTCTAAGTCTGACGAGCTCCATCAGCTCATCGTCATCATTATCATGATTATGATCATCATCATTATCATCATCATCATCATCAGCTCATCGACTAAACATCATAACACATTTCGCACCTTCTTAGTTCCTCGTACCTTTGACACAATTATTCGAGATATCTAAAACTTATTTAATTTCGGGCTCTTTTTTAATATTTTGCCTGTACATACCTAGGCTCCAGAATGTTGGAGGGCCAAACTCACCGTGGGGGGGGGGGGGCAAACTGAACTTGGTGCTGGTGGAGGCGGTGGTAGTGGCCCGCCCAAAAGAATACAAATCGACACCAGTGCCTGGAGCTGTCTAGACACCAACCACGCCGCCCAACACTGTACGATCCGTAGGGGCGTCAGCAATCAATTATGAAGCGACCAATGTTGCGTTTTTCGAAACCGATCTTGAAAGCAACGCGCTGCCGCCCGAACCGAGTGGGAAGTAAACGTAACAACGGCAACAGCCTGGCACGTGACCTGTCGCAAATTTGTCGGATTCGTCGGCGCAAAAAGCCAAACCCGCTCACCAGCCTGCCGCTGGCTACGAATCAGGGCAGTAGAACATTATGAATTACGAACGAACATAATGCTACGAATTCGCTGTACAGTCTCGTGTTTCTGCTGAAGGTCCTCCACACAGCAGATACATTCCGCCGGCGCGTGGCTGCGCACTCAGCAGCCAGGGGCAGCCATAACACGGATCACACAAAGTCGGCCGGGCGACAGTATGTAGTCGTACTACCACACAGATGTGTTCTGCACACCTGGACTCATATTGGTTCAGCTGTGCGGGAGGCAATCCGCTGTGAAACGGAACAAAGTTTCGAACTGGCATGCGTATTGCCTTCTATGTCAATACCGGTTCAGGCCCTAAGGCGGGACAGCCAGGTTTGGTACGCGGCAGTGTTTAATGCATCCTATCTCGAGACTGCTGTGGATTGTTGTTATACCAGATCATTGAGCCGTCGAATATCTCTGAATGACTTAAATCGAATTTGAATGTACGACTCACGGCGCGATAACCGCCACATTATCTGGAGTATTTCTGCCACCAGCCGCGATCGCCTGGGTGCCGAAAGTGCCTCTCCCTCGGGAAATTTGTGGCACCATGGATAGTCGCGACCAGTGTCAACGAAGAAATACTTAGATGACAGCACGTAACTGACGACGTCATGGGTACAGGGAATGTCTCACATTCAAAGACAAGGAAATAAGCATCAGATATGATGAACTAGGCTCACTGTGAACTATCTGCAGACTTAAAGTGGAAAAGGCTGCACTACACGACATCGTTTCTCTGTTGAGTAAATGTGCTCTTAATACGTCATTGTTAGGTTACATCATCGTACCTTGCACGACATAGATTGAGACCCAATTGACAGCCCGTATATCTGGAACTCCTGCTCACGAACGCCAGATATGGATGATTCGACCATTATTTTTTCATAGGCCCTAATCCTCACATGGCCAATAGAACGGCAGCATTTGAATTGCGTTATCATGGCGTCATAAATGCCTTGGTGATCCTGAAATAGTCTCCCAGAAGTGGTCTGCGCATCCTCGCGTGAGCGTAGTTCAGAAACTACAAGCGTTTGAGTCTTAGGAACGGCAGGGCCGTGAACTCCACCGAATGATCTTTAAGGTGGCTATTTCAAGTCAAAACCCCATGAGAATGTGGAGCACTCCCTTTGAGGCATTCAGGACCTATCCTTACGCCATCGCATTGGCTGTCGAATAACTTTCACCCATACGTTTACACGTGATGAATTTTGCCACACTTTTACACGTGATGAGTTTTGCAGCCCAAAAGACTTGCCAGGGACCGCGAAGGGAAATGGCGCTGTCGCGATCTCCCCCCCCCCCCCCCCCCCCCACCTCGCTTCCTTGTGTGGCACATATTAACACATTTGGAGCAGTGTCGTATGACCCGAGCTAAAATGTCCATTAGTATTGCTTTGAAAGGGACATTTCCTAGGAACATGCCGAGTGTTGAGTGAATGTTTGACTTAACTGTCTTTTGGTAGACATCGACTGACGACACGCAAGAGCTCCTTTGCCTCCTACGTGCTGTGGCTCTTGCAAAAGTATGCGCCCGCACATCTGAACACTTGAAAATGTTCAATATCGACTCTGCATACACAAGAACTCAAACAGATACTCATACCCCAACTCTGAACCTTACGTGCACATTCGTTATACTGATTTCCGCACTCAGCACAATGAGCGCGCATAGCTTAAGCTAAGAAATGGCCGTCAAGCAACTCAGTGAGATCTGCGAAAAAGCAGTGATGGGACAAACCCCATTATTAGGCTTCGCATGGATCTAAAAGGTGGCAGTCCATGCTAGCAAACTGGTTCTCCACGCCACACTTTTACCACGTTTCGTCACTAGGTCTGACGCCAAAGGACCACATGTCAGACGAAGCCCTGACAGCAGCAAAACCTCATCTCGCCGAGGCGCTGTTTCAGGCAGTCGCTCTGGCCGCGGTAGACGTTCAGCCGAGACACATCCACCACCGAGAGCAGCTCCTCGGGCGGTGCAGACCCGCCTCGGCTGCGCACGGTGACCTCAAACTCTCCCAGGCCGGGCGTGGAGACAAACCGCACCACGTTCTCCTCGAACGCCTGCACCAGCGCGCGCTGATGCCGGCCGTCTCGCACCACCGATGCCGGAGCGCAGCGCCTATATCGGCCAGCGGGGGCGCAGCGTGGCGTGCACGTCGAAGATGGTGGTCAGACGGCGGGCGTTGGCGCGCAAGTGCTGCACGCACTGCGGTACCGCGCCGCGCACCACGGCGGCAGCAGCGGGAAGAACGGCAGTTTGACCGCTGACTACTCCTGGAAACAGGGGTTAGTTTTTTTTGACGCATTCTGACGCGACCCAAACGCACGGTGTTACATGAGAGCTTGGTCGTAGATTAATAATAGTGCCCAGATCTGATGTGCAGCAGGCGGTCCTGGGGCGCCTGGGCCGCTGTATCCAGGCGTAGTTTTCTGTTCAGATGGCGGCCCCCTAGTTGGAAGGCAACGTGGATCACATTTTGGGAAAAGTCCGTTTTTATTTTGGGGTCAGGTTAAGTCGTTTTCCCTTGTTCGGCCTCCCAACCTTATTTGGCGAGACTATGCCGCCGACTATACCGCACCTACGCCTCTAACAAAACTAGGATGCAGGTGAGACGCAAGGCGAGAACATGCCGGTTGATGGCGAGAACGCAACGCAGCCCATGAATCGCGCTGAAGCGTCCCACCCATACAAGTGTACATGTAACGCATGCACACCTACAGACTGGTATATATATATATATATATATATATATATATATATATATATATATATATATACTTCATGCCTACATGCAATAGCAGCAACCAAAGACTGTCGACATACATGAACAGCCAGGGACATCTTGTTTCCCCGCACCAGCTCACCACCGGTCTGCAGAATTCGACCCCCAACGGCACGGTTCCGCCCCTCGCCGGAAGCGCGCTGTTTACATGTGTATGCAAGCACGCGACAAGCGTTCCGATCTGCTAATGGATCCCAGCTCCCCCTCCTTGTTCCACTGCCGCAACCTGTTCGGCGCCGGGTGTCTCCTCACACCAGCGCTTGGTGCGTTGGTGCAGCCTGAGAACGGCTTGCGCGGAGACGGCACCACTCCCAGACACCGCCTGCCACGGTGACAGCAGTGCAGCAGCATGAGATGGTGAGGAGGACAGATAGAAGATCGGCCCCCCGGGCGACCTTCCACCGTGTTTCCGCCTTACATCGTCATTCCCACGCCAACGCCACACCGACCGCTGCCCCGCCACCGCGACGCCGTTAGAAGTCCTGCATCCGCTGGCGTGACGCACGGCCGTCTCAGCAGTCCAAAGCCAGCATACGAGGCTATTGTGTATTACCGGTAAGCATGCATAACGTGATCCGAGCGGACATAATGGCACACCACGCTAAACGGTCTGAGGGTTGGCGGCGGCGAGACGGAGCGCCGCGCGCCGGCCGGCCCGCCCACGCCGGGTAAACTATCACAAGGCAGATCAACGGAAACAATATCGCCGCTCCGTGCGGGCGCCGCTGCGCGCTCGGCTGATATGTGAACTCTGCCGCCGGGCAGCCGGCGCTCGAACCCGCTCGCGGCGGACGGGCGTATACAGGGGTAAGCGTACGCGTGCCGGCCGGCCCGCTCCCGGGGCGCGGAGCCGCCCCAGGGCCGGCTCAGGCCGGCGTGATCCAACGCTGGGCGGCCGGCCTCAGCGTCCGCGTCCGCGTGCCCACCACGGCCGGGCCCGTGGCCGACGGTACGCTCGGCTGTCCAGGACCGCGCGCCGGGCGCCGGGCGGGGGGCGTCTGCCCGGCCCGGCCGCGTGGCCGGCGACAGCCGCCCGCTGCCGGAGCCGGCTGGACAGGGACCCGCCACGTGCTCCGCCCAGTGTAAACAGTCGATGTGACAGCGACGCGTCGCTCACACAAATCATAAATCAGACGGGCCGCGCTCCGCGCCACCATCACAGACAGACCGGCCGCAGGACAAAAAGACAGACAAAAACAGCCGGCTGCCGACTGACAAAAACGACTGTCCCGCGCCTAAATGCACTTACAACCACCCCCGCGGACCAACTAAGACTGGCGCGCATACACGACTTTCTTTCGCACTGTACAGTATTACTTCGTCTGCATAAAGGTAGTCACTATCGGCCGACAGGCGCGGCCGGGGTGGCCGCGTGGCCGCACTCATCCGCCACCGCCTCACGGCTCGTCCTCGGCCGGTGTCACGGTGCGCCGCTCGTCCTGGATCCGCTCGAACACCTCGTACAGGAATTGGTGCTGGGGGCGGGAGCACACGGGTCAGAGCGGACGCCAGTAAGCGTCGGCAAGTTCAGAGCAAGAGCGAGCTGGTCTGGGCACGAGTCTGCGCAGATATCTACCTTATCTACCGGCGTCTATTTCTATCTATCTTATATCTACCGGCGTCGCCATGGGCCGACGTGGACACGGGTCAGTGTATACGCGGGTAAGTGCGGGCACGAGTCAACGGAGCGCAGGCCGGCGTGGGCGCGAGTCAACGGAGGGCGGGTCGGCGCGGGCGCGACTCAACGGAGGGCGGGTCGGCGCATGCACGAGTCAACGGAGGGCGGGTCAGCGCAGGCAAGTCAACGGAGCGCGGCTCGGCGCGGGCGCGGGTCAACGGGGCGCGGACGAGGCGCGGGCGCCACGCGGTGACGGGCGGCTGCGGCTCCCACCCCGGCGGACACCGCCACCGCCACGCACCGGGGCGGCGGCGGCGGTCGACGGCGGCGCATACCGTGGCGACCGTCACTCAGCACCCGGCCGGCGGGCACCGCCGTTTGCAGGGCACGCGGCCAGCCGCGGACGGCCGGGGCCCACCCGGGTGACTAGCGGGGGGCTGCACGGAAACAGCAGCGCAGCCACGGGCAGGGGCGCTCTGGTGCTTCGGGAAGATAGCGGCGGTGCTTGGCGAGGCGACGTAGCATACGTCTTACGTAACACGCTCACAGAGCCTGGATTTCAATCCCCCCCTCCCCCTCCCCCATGATTCATATCAAGATTTTAACCGCACATTTAGGTTACTGAGTCACCAGGACACTCGCAGCAGTGCCTGCTTCATGCCATACATGCTTGCCATGGCGTGCAACAAATGCGTGCACTTGTCCGGATGAGACACCACGTACCGACAGAGTCCAAGAGGTGATAGAGGCGTTGTTTACCCACATTCAATGTCGCTCGACTCTTTGCGGGGGAGGGCGGGGCTACTCAGCGGTTCAATGGTCCAACAGATGGTTCAAAAAGCACTGAACTTCTACACCCACACCGTCCTCAACCTAAATAATACCGAACGTGTGTCGCCCACGCTGCTCGTGTCGGGTCAGCCTACAATGCCTGACATCATCACCGAGTGGGACGCGATGACAACGCCAATCACTCTGTCGAACACCCGTTCACCCGAGGCGTAGGGCCAACGGGCGGCCGGTCGGGGCTCGGTGTCCTCCGGCACCACTCGGGCCGCAGCTGACGGGATGTCGCAGCTCCCGCGAGCGCGCACCGAGGCCTGCGCTGATGCCCAGTTTCTCCAGCGCGACACGCGTGCGGAACCCACCGCCGTCAGACGCTCGCCCGTCTTCCACTGTTGACGCCTTGGCAGCGCAGGCCAGTCGCTTGCCTGCGATCGAGACGAGCCTGGTGCCCCGTTTCTACCACGGTATGTGTCCCGTTTTTTATCACCGTGTGTGTAGATGTCCGTGTGTTTTTACTTCTGCGTTCAGTGTATGTGATGTGGAGGCCGGAAACGTCACATCATGGAGGATCCCAAATACCATCTGCCTATCTATCTTGTCGGTGATTATTCCGGGTTAGATAAACTCCAGCTGAACCTTACATTAGACGGACAGGCATTTGTTCAGGATCGATGACAGCGAAACATGGAACTGGGGATGACAACTAATCGTGAAAGACAAATGTACGCTTTCATTTGCAAACACATCGGCGTGTGTGTCGTGAACAGTGAGAATGCGGTTTTGTCTATTGAACTGTCCGCTGCAGGTCTCCGCACGAATGCACAAACTCGGATTTCTGACATGCATCACAGGATCATACTTCAGCCAGACACACTACAGGGAAACCACCGTTATGTCGCGGGCTAGCAGTGTGCGCTCCATAATTTTCCGCGCACGTGCAACATTTTCTTGCGCAACAATTCATCCCTCACACTCGCTTGTATACTACTTTGATATTATACACAGAACTTCTTCTCAAGAAATATTGTGCGAATATTTCAGAGCGACGGGTAGTCTGTTTGAGCCGCTGACTGTTCACTGGTGATGACCTCTGATACAAAACAGAGACTATTAATCCGGATGAAATCAGGGCGTCACTTGCGTGGTAGGACGACTGTTTTAATTGGTCCGAGGATACAATAAACATCTGACTTTTCAAAACACGTTGCCAAGGCCTCAAAACCTTGAAATGTACTTCATGCTCTGCTTTCGAATTAATTCTGGACGTTGAAGTTACTTGCCTACCCTTGGGAAGTCGCATAGCTTACATGCAAGGTATGGGATTTTACGATTGTCAGGAATGATCGGGGCCCACTCAATCAGTCAGTCAGTCCTCACTTACGGCGGGTTGTCGTCCATTGCTACAAGATCATGACCAAGTTTTAATCAGCCGATCGGGCTCGGACGGCGGCGAACGACGTCATAGTGACGTCACACCTCAGGCTCCATATCGCGGAGGCGACTTGCGTTCGTTGACTCTCCGACTTGACGTTAGCTTAACCCTCATAACGTACGTCACACAGGGCGGCCTGCCAGGCACTCACGACCGGAGTGACCGCTCGCATGTCAGGCACCGAAGGCAGCAAAGAGACAGAGAAGGGACAAGGCCGGGAGGGGGGGGGGGGGGGGGCGGCGTAAAGCAAAGGTAAGTACCGCAGAGAGGTAGAGAATGCTATTACAGGGAAACATGCGATGATGTCTGAGCGACCGTCATCAATTCGTTGGGATACTTCACAGATCCTTCAGAATAATGTCTGAGCAGGACACGTATCTCTCCCCTAAACAGCGGCTTGTTGAATTATCCTGGCAGGACCGCAAATCTCGCATACGTCGAAACATAGCACGCCTCATAACCTACGCTAGTACACCCTGCATCGTACATAACTTCACGTTCACATGGAGCACGCGGTAACATATTAACTGACACAGTCGTTATGCATCGCGCCAAATGGCCCATCACGCTACTGTTTACCGAGTGCCGACCAGCGACGCCCCGACCCACGAGGATTCATAGCCCCGATTCTGGACCATGCAGCAGCCCATGTAGCTTCGGCGGCTGGAATGGGACCCGTGTAGAACTGAGATGCGCCCAGAGCAGTTGGCTGGAATGGCATCCGTGTAGAGCTGAGAAACGCCCAGACCAGTTGGTTGGAATGGACCCGTGTAGAAATGAGCGGCGCCCAAATCAGTTGGCTGGAATGGAGCCGTGTAGAAGGGAGCGGCGCTCAGATCAGTTGGCTGGAATGGAGCCGTGTAGAAGGGAGCGGCGCCCCAGAACAGGTCGCGAGTCCCCAGACCCCGTCCAGGCGCTCTGAACCACCGACGGGTCGGCAACATTCAGCGAACCTTGCGAAGCGTTACCAAGCCACGCTGGAGTTTGTCTCGATCAACATAACAGCTAGGCGTAATCTGACGAGGGACACACCGCCCACCATGACCGTCTGGTACGGCGCTAACCGCTACCCAGGACGCTGCAGTTGTCGCCCGTGACGGTCAACCTCCCCTGCCGCTTCCCCGCATAGTAACGAGCAAAGGGAGAGGTTGTATCTCGCGACAGTTTACTCGCGCCTCTGCTTACTGCGGACTATCAGCAGACCCGTACGTCGGGCTAGAACATCACTCAACCAGCGCCTCAGCAAGGGCGCCGTACCCCCGGGGCGTCACTGAAAGCTACTGCCAGACAAAACAACAAACGATGGTTTCCTCCCTTCAGCACATGCTGAGATCAAGAGCAGTTCCGTTTCACGTCTGGAATGAGCCTCGCGAGACTTCAGCACGGCGCCAACCAAGGGAATTAAATGAGATGGCTCACAGGCGGGCCCGGTGTTCTGATAAGACCCCAAAAATGCTGCGGTTGTGCTATACTTCCCTCCGTTTGAGACCTGCTTGTGTACGAACGCAGCCTAACGGCACGCTTTTGGATCCAGGTACAGAGCGCGTCAAGTCATCTTAAAATCAATGACCAACACAGCGCAAAATACGCGATAACCGACTTCGAAAGCTTTGAAGCTTGTTGAGTGCGGTGTGTTCCGTCTACATTACTGAACCAAGTCAGTCACCCAACAAAAAAGCCATAAAAACGGGTCGAGACGGGCCACGAATACACGAGACCGGACCAGACCGTGACCGGCTGGCCGTCAGCACCTCTCGTCAATGAGAGACGGGGAGAGAGACGGGGCAGGAGACGGGAGACAGGGCAAAAGAAGGGAAACGGGCAGGAGATGGGAGACGGGGCGAGAAACGGGGCAGGAGACGGGAGACGGGGCAAAATAAGGGAAACGGGCAGGAGATGGGAGACGGGGCAGGAGACGAGAGACGAGACAGGAGACGGGAGACGGGCATCAGACGGAAGACGGAGCAGGAAACGGGAGATGGGCAGGGGACGGTATTCGTGCAGCGGACGGGCAGCGGCGCACGCGGGACCGGGCGCGGTCACCGCCGTCACTCACGTGTGGCGTGAACACCTTGACCCAGCGCGGTGTATGGTCCTGTCGGCTGTACTGGAAACAGAAGGCCGCTTGACCGTCGTCAATGTCCCACTGCGTGATGCTCGACCACGGAAACTTGATGGTCTGGCCCTGAAACAGCGGGACCTTCTTAGAAAGGAATGTGGCGCGTGGCGTACGCGCAAGTTAGTGTTTATAGGAGGCAATGGGAAATAGTCACAAGCGGGAAAGAAGCATTTGTTGATGTTCGACTCAGGGGATACCACCTATGCGTGTGGATCGTGAAAACGAGGACGCTTGGATACAGCGTTTAGGTAATCACAGCCAGTAGCAACCTTGCCGCACGGCTTCATTTCTACCTCGAACTTGCGACACGCCTCCGTCCGATCACACGGCACCACTCAGGGTTTCACTGGACAGCGAGGGGAGAAGGGCCACGTCTCGTACGTCTCTGAACGTCTTCAGCGCAAAAGTGTGGACTGCAGCTTTCCACCTCTGACATAACTTTCTCGGAGGCTGGACTTCGCAGCCCGAAACGCCCCTATAACGATCACACCGTTTCGCACACCCCACATCCTCACATCGCGACACATGCTCTCCCAGACTGCGCGTGCTGCTCACCTCCGACGCGCCCTCTTCAGAGCACGCGTGCAAGCTGAAGTTCTCGATGCCGGCGGCGACGATGACGTGGCCTTCCTTGCGCGAGTCACACGGGCAGTGAGGGAACACCACCTCGCCGTAGCCCTCCAGCTGGCGCACGCACGTCAGATACTGCCGGGCGCGGCCGGGGGACGGACGGTTAGCACGGCCCGGTCCGGCCGGGGACAGACGGTCAGCACGGTCCGATCCGGCCGGGGGACAGGCGGTCAGCACGGCCCGGTCCGGCCCACACCGTGAGTATCACGGCGGAGCGCACAGCGCGCCGGGCGGCCACAGCGGAGCACACAGCGCACCGGACGGTGACATCGAAGCGCACAGCGCACCGGGCGGTGCTATCAGAGCACACAACGCACTGGGCGGTCACAGTAGAGCACAAAGCGCACCGGGTGGAGGTCACAGCGGAGCACACAGTGCACCGGGCGGAGCTCACAACGGAGCGCACAGCGCACCGGGCAGCCACAGTTGAGCACACAGCGCACCGCGCAGACGTCACAGCGGAGCACACAGCGCACCAGGCGGAGGTCACAGCAGATCACACCGCACACCAGGCAGCCACAGTGGAGCACACAGCGCGCCGGGCGGAAGTCACAGCGGAGCACACAACTCCTCGGGCGGCCACCGCGGAGCGCCAGCGGACCGTGAGGGAGGAGGGCGGCTGATGCCGTGACCAGTTGTTTCTGATAGCTATTCCTCACGTTTCCATTTATTAATATTACCACCACTAGTACTAATATTACTATCACTATTATTAATATTTCTCTTAGTTATTTCTGACATTATTTGCAGCCTGGTAAACATGTGAACACAGGGGTGTCATAGATATAGCATTATATAACTCCAAGCTGTCCCGGTTGTTTCAAGCAGGCTGTCAGCCTGGCAGACACAAACATCAGGGAGTTATAAGGACAACTGCAGTGTATAATTCCTGCAAGGACACAAACACAAACACATACCGAAAGCAATAGTGCACAATGACGCCGTCCAACCGGCTGCACAGAGCCCGCACCTCCTGTTTCTTGGTGTGCTCCTGGAGTGCCTTGAGCTCGTACAGCCGTTCGCCGACAGTGAGGTGACCCCGGTTGACGGCCTGCACGGCCTCCCAGTAGAAGAAGACCAGCGCCACAGGGTCGGCGGCGCACAGCTGGCGCTCCTTCTCCGGCGAGAAGAGCCAGCGCCGCACGCACAGGCACGACGACGTGGCCGTGCTGTAGTTCTGGATGTAGAGCGCGTGTGGCTGCTCGTTGGGCAGAAGCTTGCGCTCTGCCGGGGCAAGAGGTGGTGAGGAGAGGGGGCGCCACTGGCGGCGTGGAGGGCAGCGCCGCGGGGCGTCGCGGCGGAGGGGGCCACTGGCGGCACGGCTGACAGCCCGGGGGGGGGGGGGGGACACTAGGCTACGGCCAGCACACAGGTAGCGGCGCGACGACAACAACATTTCAGCACCACACCGGTTCAGTCGGGGCGCGGAGATGGACGCAGCCCGCGTTGGAACGACAGCCTCGGGGCGCAGCGTTTCCCATCCCACCACACGAAACCGGACGCAGCAAGCACTCGACCGACGGCCACTATCCAGCACGCTGTGATCGCTGCACGGGGGCGCCGACTGAACGCCGGCACGGCACCGTTCTCCGGACGAGCCTCCCCCGCCCTCCACACACACACCGGCCCCCGTCCGGGCCCATCGCTCACCGAAGTGGTACTCGACGATCTCAAAGAGCGCGAAGCACTTGGCCGTGTCCTCCTGCATGCCGGTTTTGAGCACGACGCCGCGGTACACGTCGATGGCGGTGGCGTTCTTGCGCGCCGACACGGCCACCACCTCCTGACTGGGCAGCAGCACCTTCAGGTCCACCATGATGTGGGCCTGGTGGCGCGGACGGGCATTAGTACGGAGGCCATCCCTGCGCTGAGCCTTACGGGTGCGGGGGACGAGTGAAGGAAGGACGGAAACACAGTGCATGGATCACGGATGGAATGGATTAACACACGACTTTGAACAAACTCAACTTGTCAGACGATATCACGTGCAAGCTCTCATTTCAACCCTCGCGCATATCCCAAGCGAGCTTACGTGTTAGCTGGGCACAATCTGCCATCTGAGTGGCATGATAAGAACCATGAACTCCCACTCCGCAGCATCGCGATACCGCGTCCCCCGGCAGTGCCGCCGGTCGCGGATGGTTACCGCACGCCGCCGTGTCACGCGCCCAACACACGCCACACCGACGGCACCCACGGTCGGCCGACCCTACAGCGTTGCGCCCCACCCCGTCGGCTCTACAGCAGTGCGCCCGACCCGGCCGGTTCTACAGCAGCGCGCCCGACCAGGCCGGCCTTACAGCAGTGCGCCCGACCCGGCCGGCTCTACAGCAGCGCGCCCGACCAGGCCGGCCTTACAGCAGCGCGCCCGACCCGGCCGACTCTACAGCGTTGCGCCCGATCAGGCCTGCCTTACAGCAGCGCGCCCGACCCGGCCGGCGCTACAGCGGTGCGCCCGACCCGGCCGGCCCTACAGCGGTGCGCCCAGGCGCCCGACCCGGCCGGCCCTACAGCGGCGCGCCGGACCCCGTCAACTCTACAGCAGTGCGTCCGACCCGGCCGGCCCTACAGCAGCGCGCCCGACCAGGCCGGCCTTACAGCAGCGCGCCCGACCCGACCGGCGCTACAGCGGTGCGCCCGACCCGGCCGGCCATACAGCAGCGCGCCGGACCCCGTCAGCTCTACAGCAGTGCGTCCGACCCGGCCGGCCCTCCAGCGGCGCGCCCGACCCGGCCGGTCCTACAGCAGCGCGCCCGATCCGGCCGGTCCTACAGCAACGCGCCCGACCCAGCCGGTCCTACAGCAGCGCGCCCGATCCGGCCAGCCCTACAGCGGCGCGCCCGACCCGGCCGGTCCTACAGCAGCGCGCCCGACCCGGCCGGCCCTACAGCGGCGCGTCCGACCCGGCCGGCCCTACAGCGGCGCGCCCGACCCGGCCGGCCCTACAGCAGCGCGCCCGACCTGGCCGGCCCTACAGCGGCGCCCGACCCGGCCAGCCCTACAGCAGCGCGCCCGACCCGGCCGGTCCTGCAGCAGCTCGCCCGACCCGACCGGTTCTACAGCGGCGCGCCCGACCCGACCGGCCCTACAGCAGCGCGCCCGACCCGGCCGGCTCTACAGCGGCGCGCCCGACCCGGCCGCGCTTCCGTCCGCCGGCGGCCGCTCACCTGCTCTTCGTCGTTGTCGGTGAGAAACTGTTGCACCAGCTCGGACTCGGCGATGGCGCGCACCGAGCAGATCTTCTCCAGGTAGGCCTCGAGGCCTCGCCGCCGCTGGTCCAGCTGCTGCTCGCTCATCCTGCCGGAGGCCAGGCCGTCACCGGCGCGCACCCGCCGCACACCCACACCACGCGCGCACGCACCGACGCCGGCTGGGGACGGCCCATGACGCTGGGGAGACGCAGCCGGCGCTACTGCAATGTGCAATCCCCTTTCACCCCAAAAAGAGGGTCGCGGTGCGATGCGATGAGCTTGCCGCATGTCGGGTGCATACCGCGAGTTAAGACGAGGCATTTTCCGGGTCGCGTGTTGCTGCCACGAGTGGAAAACCGGAGGTTGCGGGCAGTTAAACCGAACTCTGTTGTGGGCGGACTTGAATATTTCATATTCGGGCAAAACCAAAACGGGAAACACAGATAGCACGCCACTTACTTGAGCGGCCATTTCCCAGGCAGACTGGGAAAGTTGAAGTCGACGAACTCTCTCTTCAGCTCTTTATGGAGGTTTGCAAATTCCCGATATCTTCGGGAGCACAGATGCCTGCCAGCCATGTAAATATTGTACACCTGGAAAGCAGGCAGCGTTCCTCAACAGTTTGATCCGCCCGCCACAACAGAGAATGGTCTGTCCAGCATCCACACTCGGACATGCAACACGTAGCTCCGGCCTTTTCAGCCGGCCAGCCAATTCATGGTCTGCCCATGCGGCTGTGCTGTCATTGGGGCTCTACGACGAGATCAGTTGATGAAGCTACACGGCGGCGTCTGCCTCTCACCCTAGCGGGAGCGGCGGGCACCGCGGGGAACCGAACCCAGGAACACTGGCTATCCAGACACGCAGGCTAACCATCGCACCACCAGAACCCCACAACACGGCCGCGCCGAGCCGACCAGAGCCTGTTCCACATCTGGGACATTCTCATAACAAGTACAACGCGTCGCCAGCGCCACAGGCGCCCGGGCTGCCGATGATGATCTCCGCGCTCGGCCGCGCCGACGCGGTCAAGGTTACACGGCGCCCGGCGGCAGCAGAGAGCAAGGCTGGCCAGCGACACAAGATACCGGACGGTGACGTCAGAGCATCGGCGCGGCGCGAACCAGACGCCGGGTACAGCTCGGTCCGCTGCATAGCTGTCGAGGTGGCCGCGGCCGGGCATAGCTCGGTCCGCTGCACAGCTGCCGAGGCGGCGGCGGCGGCGCGCCACACATGGTCCGAGACCGGAGCATGCGGCCACCGGAAAGTCGCCTCCTGTCACCGTCGGGGATCATTTCGGGCCTATGCGCGCTTCAACTGCACGATGATTTTGTACGCACTTGGCGAATTTTTCTCTGTGTACAAAACCGCTGCACTTCTCTTAGTAGCGGGTACGCAGTCACTGTCGACGATCGCTAGCCCGAACTAGCGCGTATCGAACTAGCGCGAAACTCCACAGCTCATCCGACTGTTGGCTGCCAGCTTGTAAAGCGTGCGGGCGCAATGAAATAAGCAAATCACGATTCACACGGAGTCGATCGCCGATAATCTGGATTTGATCGCATCACTGAATACGTTCACCCAGCCAACGCCAACGCGCGTGGTCTGACGGCAGCAAAACGACGTTCGCGTCCAACTCACCACAAACTTTTCATTCATCCTCTCAACGGTGGAATACTCTGGGATGGAGATTGGCAGCGAGCGTTTCTCTGAGTAGTCGACAGAGCTGAACGTGCTACCCTCTTCACTGGGTTCTAGTCGTTCTGCCTCCTGTGGGGCAGACAGGACATGAGAAACTCATGATACAGTGCGCGCACAGCCAGGTTCTGGTCTGTCCAGAAACAGCACTTGTGCTGACAGATTTTGCCAAAGGCCTTCAAAACCACCGGACAATGCCCCTTTTGAGCTCGTTTCTAGCCACAATAGTGGTGGCAGCACACAGAGAAATTATGCAATTACACCATGAGTTGCAGTGACAGGGCCCATCAGACTAACCGGCTTTTGACACGCAAACTATTGAAAACGAAAGCGGTTAACTAAATCAGAAGTGCCGACACTAGGGGTGTCGCGGGCCGGGGGAGGGGGGAGGGGGGGAGGGGGAGGGCGGGATTGAGCCCCACTGCCCAACTTTATGAAAATTCAATGTACCCTGTGACCATTAACTGCAAAACAAACTAACAAAGTGTATTCACCAGCCGCCTTTACTTGGCATGATATGCATTGCGCCGGCACTTAACACCCACCTGGGCGGACACCGAGATGACGGTGAGGGTCAGGCTCTCGCCGCCCGACTTGATGTGCTCCACCACCTGCCGGTGGGTCGCGCCCTCCACGTTCACCCCATTCCTGCGGCACGGCGGCAACGGAGCGCGCGTCACGCCTGGTGCTGTTGTTATTGTTGGCCGGTTAATGACATCACGGCGCGTGACGAGACCCGCTGGTACCTGCTACGAGTTCAGGATGGAAGCGTGACGGGAAATAAGCTCAGGGGGTAAAACGGCATCCGGCATCGTTTGCACGCTCCACGGCAATACATGACCCAAAAGCCCTGCTAATGTCAACCGCCACTGCTGCAGCACTCAACAATTGAAGTCAAACAACTGTCCACAAAACACTCCATATACGTCGAAGACTTTGAGCCTGAGCGTAACACCAAAACGCCATCGGAGACATGGCACGAGAGAGTATGTGCATGACACCGGAAAACTTAACACACATGACACACCTGAAAATAGCGCACTCACAAAGACGAAACGGCAAACGTCATGCCAACACCGCCGCCCTCGCCGCTAGCACGCGCCACCCTGGCCGCCGTCGCTTCTCGGTCGCCAGCACTTACACCTCGAGTATGCGGTCACCCTTGACGACGCCGGCCTGCTGGGCGGCGCCGCCGTCGAGCACGGCCGACACGTGCTGCAGCGGGCCGTACAGCTCGCCGTTGATGCTGCGCAGCTGGCCGCCCTCGCACACCTGGCCGCGCACGTTGAAGCCGAAGCCCGTCTCCGTCTTCGAGATGGTGACGACGCGCGGGCCGCGCGGCGCCTCGGCCCCCTTCCGCCTCATCCGGCTGCCGTCCATCCCATCACTGGCGGCAGGGGGAGAGGGTGGGGGTGGGGAGCTGAGGGGATGGATCCGGCCGCCGCTCTGACAGCAGTGGTCAAACACTAGGTCAGCTGGTGCTCATTGGGTTACTTGAACAGCTTACATGAGGGAAGGGTTGTTATTATATGTGGGAAGGCATCAGGGCAGATGAAATCTGATAATGCACTCTAATGTCTGATCCCCACTGAGCGGGGATCAGACAACATTTGGCTATTGGTGATAACTATTCATGACATTTGGCGAATAGGTGATAATCATTAAGGCCTATAAGTGCTTAAATTACATTTCATAATGCACTCAGCTACTGAGGCTATATGGCATCACCAACCCCTCACCCTGACAAAAAGGGCTAGCTAGCATTGTGGGAATCAAACCCTGCACATCTACCTCCCAAATGTGTAGTTCAGCCCATCTATCAGTATCCTGTCCTTAAACTAAATTCTCATGTCACAGTCACTTAATTTTACTGGGAAACACAAGTTTTAGCATGGAACTGCAGAACAATTCACAAATGGCCTTGATCCATTTCCATTATGCAGCATGATTCAGCTTGTAATAATTTTAACTAACCATGGCAAGGTGGCTGACACAGTGACATTTGGTAACCATGCTACTGCTGCTGGTGGCAAAATATGTTAGAATGGCTTGCAACTGACAGCTCACATCCTGGAACAGCAAAACTCAATAGTCTAAAATTGTCTGAAATCCTTGTTTATGTTTGGTGTATATTTGGAGGCAAATATTTGCCAACAAACACCATGAAATACTCAACACTCAACTGACTGATAGACAGGGAAAAAGGCTGCATCCCAATGGGGTTTTGCATTTCTTTGGTACATACTTATAGACCTAAACCACTATGTAACCAGATATGGAAGAACCTCACTTTTACCACCCAACTATGCCAACACACCTGGGATAAGCAAAAACCATTACACCATTACCAGCCAACTGCCCACAATCTGCTTGTATCCCCACTGTGACATAATAAATATATCTAGACCCCATAATTGGAGTATTTTATTATAAAATAAATTAACTCATATGTATATATATATATATATATATATATATATATATATATATATACATATATATATATAAAGTAAACATGGTCCCTACACTTTTGGGGGTGGGTGGGGTGCTCCCATATGCTCCCTACACTTGGAGGGTGGGGCATCATTTTAAGTCTTAGCACAATTTTGCCTAGCCTGAGTCTCATGCACACAAGCGAGATGCTCAGCACAATGTTGCATAGGCATCCATTACAGTGGATGAATTTTTTTTACTGATCTGACTACAATTATATTAGTTCAAGCTTGAAGCTCAATTATTTTGTGCTGGGCCTGCAAACATTTATAATTAAAGTAACATTAAATCAATGACAAAATATTGTAACCCTGACTTTGCAAAGAATGCACCTTGTAAAAAATATCTTGATTTACATGTAGCACATGGATTCCTCCCTACACATCTGGCAGGGGCACGAGAAATAGGGGGCCGGGAGGTCTAAAACTCTGTACCTTTCTCAGAGTTCAAGATTAGAAGTGTGGGCCATTTGGCAAAACATATATCCATTGCACTGAATGCCCACACAATACAGAAGTGCTGAACCTCAGACTTCTATGTACAGAAATCAGGCCAAGCCATATCGCACTGAATTAATCTACTTATGTTATGCATTTTGGGTACTTTTGCCTGAAATTACCTTTGCAGCATCACAACTTCCCAAAATATTGTATTTCCATGCACTGGCATGTCTGTTATCAGACTGCTGTGCATGCTTGGCATAACATTTATTTTTGCACTGGTCTTTGGGAATTGACTGGATATGTATAAATTAATGGCTTTCAGTTCCCCTCCCCTGTTCTGGGAGAACTTTTGAAGGCCCTAGCACCTAGCTGTGAGTTGAAAAGGTGACAGACTTGGCCAGTGATACCAGTTACCAGCATGTTGTTTCTCTTAGAACTAGGCCAACAAGGCAATACTGTGTGAAGGAATCCCAGTTCACCATGACCTCTACAGGTCCTACATCTACCTGCCAACTAAGCTGCATGTATGTAAGTTCGATCCATTGAGCAAACAGCACGCACGTTAACCCAGTGGACACTCACTACGCCCACAGCCCAACAGCCTCAAGCAGCTCCAGCTACACATATCATAACGTGTCCTGTAATGCACATGAACATTAATTAATGGGAAACCCAGGAAGCTACACCCTTGACTGCAAGTAATACAAACGCTGATTTTTCAGTGCCTACGACCACACCCTTAAGTAAAACATACCTGCAAAATGATCAAACAACCCCACTCCTCCACACGCCCCCGACTTCCACTGTTATGTTTCTGATTTGGTGTGTATGCCCATTTCGTACGAAAACTGCCAATTTGACAATTATGGCGCACTACAAATATCATAGGCATGATACTAGCAAATCTCATTGTCTCGCCGATCCGCCGTCCCCGGGACCTCTGCACATTCCGTCTGCGATCGTGTTGCACTGACGAAGCTTCGCGAATGAATTTCCCCCACTTTCTTCCGAAAACGCTGGGAGCCAGGGGCGCAGCCAAAGCGTCTGTGGTTGAGAAACGGCTCCCAGATGGCGAAAGCCCCCCCTCCAAAAAATCGTCGCATGTGGCCAACTTGTTTAAGGGGAACGTGGTTTTCTTTGTTGCATCAATATTAGTACTTCTATAACTGGAGCAGAAGCATGACGCTACCGCGAGATAGTCTTTTATAATTTTTGAGCTAATGACATAAACAAGTAAGACGATAAGTGGCTGCGTGGAGTAAATCACTGATGCTTTGCATGTAGCATCCTCAGTGGCCTCCCAAGCTAGTAACAATCAGCTTTCCCCCCAAAAAAATTGGGGGATTCTACATGGATATTGAGGACCCCATGACCATGGATGCTTTCCAGCTATCTGATAATCTATCCCGTACATCTGATTATTCGATACGTCTGAATATGGGATGATATATGAACAAACACCACGTGAGGTTTGAGTTATTTCGGTGTTTTCCACCTGGCCCTCCAGTGCACCAGAAGCCCATCTCGGATTACCATGCCCGGGATTGGGCATCCACAGTGCGCTGTTTATTGCTTTTCACCGAGACTAGCACCGAATTATTACGCGCCATTCTCCGCCGCCCAGATCTCATCAATGAGATCGGATGCCAAGCCACTGACTACAGTGTTGTCCGCCAATGTATTTATAAGGCACGGGCGTAACAATGTCATTTCAAACAAAACACGTCACAACTTGTGCGCTGCCGATGCCCTCCCCTCCCCGAAAGCACCGAATGCAAACCCCAGGTCACAGCGACTGCTACGATTTCGCCGCCTTTTCGATCTTCTGCTGCTTTAGATGTCGGTAAGCCGCCACCGCTCGTAATCGCTCCTCTTCCAGAGAGGCCTTTTGGTGCAGGGACTTCGGTGCCGACGAGGGTCGGAGCCCCGCCTGAGCGTTCGTATACAGCTTCTTCAGAAGCAGAGACTTGCGACCGGGCTGAAAGACAGGCACAGAATGGCATTGAAACTCGTGTAGATGGATTTCCACCTTTATCAGCTGAATTTTAAAACTACCACAATCTATAACAATAAGCGACCTGGCAAAGCAAAGCATGGAAACCGGTATGGCAAGCGTGGACTTCACATAAGCTTGGATCTCCACAACACCCCATGCGCCGTTTAACCGGAAAGTCATGCTCGAGCATGATTTGCGCCATGAGCCCCTGCATTGAGCATGCAGGGATAGGGGCATCACGGATTTTGAACTGAAGGTAGGATTTTACGGAGGCTTCCTGGACGAAATCGGGCCGCCTCACAGGGAGCCTTTTTGGCAGTGTCGCAATCAACGGGGGGGGGGGGGGGGGGAGAGGCACCGGGGCACGTGATCCAAGACCAAATCGTTACACGGATCAATATCCATGCACACGTAGGCAAACATTTCGATGCTATCCCTTTTGTGCACCACCCGCCCAGAATCGGTAGTTTCCTGGTGGGGCGTGGGACCGCAGGCAAGCCGGCCGTGACCAGGGACTCCCCTCGCCAAACCAGACACGACTATCACGCCGAGCAGGGCCTGAGAGGCGGATGCAGATCCGCCAGACGCTTCACCCGATCGGCGCGAGACGACAAAGCGGTGCCTGTTGTTGACCGAATCCCCGGGAGAAAACAGTGTGCGCCGTCCGGCCAGGTGGGATAAACCGCCGTTTACCCCCAGAACGTCCATGACGGTGGCCCCGTTTCGGAAAACGGGGCCACCACGTCGAAAGGAGACGCCTGCCGTCGGCCTAACAGTCAAGATTCATAGACACAGGACGCCCTATCGCTGGCGACAAACAAGCACGCACGCAGAGGTTTGCACAACATGTTTGGTTCATGCTTGCTGCTCTGCCCGAGAACGTCGCCGTGCCGGCGCCGCTGTCACCCCAGCTGGCATCAGGAGCGCCACGCCACGTGAGAGCTGGGCCGGAGGGGGACACGCAGGGTCCGCCCGAGGCCAGGCAGGAAGAGAGCGAGTGGGCCTTGCACCGCTTGCAGAGGTGCCAGCGAGAGCGAGCGGGCCTTGCAAATCCATGCCTACATATACAAATATCGACGACACAAATATCGAAATACGAATAATAACATTTGTATTAAATAAAGGCATTCTGATTATAGAGGGTAGACCTTCTCGATACAGAAAAGGGCATCTCCCAAAACCCGGCCTCATGTTCCAGAAACGGGCCTCCTAAAATATACGGGATGCCTCCTTATCCAGAGCAGGGGCTTTCTATTTCACATGGCGGGGGGGGGGGGGGGCGTACAGTGTCAGCAAGGGGCTTTCCAGGTCAGCACAGGGCCTCCTTACCACGAAATTGGGTCTCATCATCGAGAGCATGGGTTACGTTCTTCATGAAAGGGCTTGAAGATTCATAAAACGGGCCTTTTGATGCAGAAAAGGATCTTCTCCGCACAATTTAATTCATCTGGACGCAGCTATGTGGACCTCCTTGATGTTAATTTTGGTAATTCACCAAGTTGCAAAGCGTTTAGTTCGGGTAAAACGGACCTCTCAAGATTTTGAGGGGAGAAAAACATACTCATGCCCCCTGCCTTCCGGCAGGGTGAGCAACCTCCCCTCCCTTCCCCTCGCCCCCCCCCCCGCCGCATCGCCCCTACGAGCACAGCACGCGGACCATTCCTTACTTTGCCCTGAGTGCCGTCAGACGGGGCCTTCTTGGGAGCAGCCTTCAGCTCCGGCGGGCGATGCACCACCTCCCCGAACTCTACGCTGTCTTTCAGATGGGCGAAGTCATCCTGTCGACGGAAAAACACACAATGCTAGTGCACCATACAACCAGACCCGCTGAGCACGCAAACGAAACAAAATGATAAATCGCATGCACCAGAATTGTAAAAAGTGAACAGTGTCGACGCCTCAGCGTTTCATGCCGGTCGGGGTGGAAACGACCACCACGCGCGGTCAGTACAAGGTAACAGAGACTGAGGCGACGTTTGCCGGGGGGAAAGGACCAGTGTCTGTGAAAGTGAGGAAATCCGGCGCAATTGCAAAGAAAATGCTGCAACGAAAGCTATAGGAATCTTAACGACTCCCACCAAGACGGTTCGACATTACCAAATCTTCCGCAGGTCAAGTATTAAATGAAAAAAGCAGGTGGCAGGAAGGGGTAGACGTTCTATCTGAAACCAGCCTTCTCAAAATGGGGGTGGGGGGGGGACTGAAGACCACCCCCCCCCCACACACACACATACACCAACTGAAAAGGAACTTACACCCTGACTTGAGGTGTGGTGAACAGAATGCATTCCACCAATTATGGATTGGATGACGTCATTAGAAATGTTAGTTTGTAATTGGCACATGGACGGCGTTACAAGTGACGGTTACAAGTGCCGGTGCTGCTAGAAAACCGTCTATTTCTGATTTGTATGCGAGCAAATTTCCGCGAAAAACGCGGGTTCGATGCATATGTAGGGTTAAAGAAGCACAAGGCCTCGCCGAACGTAATAAGCGGCCAAAAACAACACTAGATGGAGGCAAATCTTGCGCCGTTTTGGTCGCAACTGACGTTTTACACATCAAGATATCATCCAAACCTTTTTGACAGAATGATTTCTGAGATCAAAGCTCACGCTACGCAGTGATTATCGCGTGATTCCCGCCATCCGATCGCGCCATTCTAGGTCAACAGCAGAATTTGGTGGCGAAAGTTTACCGTACCGCAATGCTCGGCACAACCCATCCTCCATTCTGACTTCAACTGATCTATAACGCGGCCGCTGCCAACGCCGCAGACCATACCCGCCAAGGACAAATAGCGAGCGCCTAAGGCGATTCGAACCCACCATGTCAGGGGTGGGTAGATCGGAAGGCAGGCGTTCTAACTAACTGAGCCATCGCACGCCGCACAAACAAAACACGCCGTTACATTACACAAGACCTAGTGTTTTGGTTAAAAATGCTGACCAACACAACACAAATGTATGACGACAAACTTGACGACAAGGGAGTGTCCCAAATTTGTATTTGTGTATATCACCTAAAACAGCGATATTGAAAAAAAACTTTCGATGCAGCTCACGGCCATGCCCGTCTCAGGACCCTCTGGTTCCTGAGCTTAAAAGACGTACGTCACCTTGGTATTCATGACGCCAGAATAACGTAGTTGAAATCTTGTAATTCTTTAAGCCATGAGGCGGCCGAGGCCAAGAAAACTACAATGGTCGTCATTTGTATCGGGCGTCCGTGAGTATGACTTTCAGATGCAACGACCGTCAAGTGGCTCTCAATCAATGTTGTGTGGGGTACGATGACGCAGTCAAATAATGACGTATTGAGGAGAGTATCTACCAAACAGAAAAAAATGTGTACTATAGAGCAGTCTTCTCCACTTAAAAGCATACCAATCGTCACACCTGAGCCTGTTCAATCATATCTGATGTTTGCTTCAATATCTTCAGATGTGAAACATTCCCTTTAATGTGGATATTTACATGAAGCTTTCGGGTGGGAAAGGCGTACATAAAACTCACATGTATTCCCTTTAAGAGGGCAGCTCTTCGCTTCGTTACCTGATCCACCTATGCATGCAAATAGGACGAGCCTGTGAGTTACCATGAATTTTAAGACTAACCAATCCGACAAACCAATCCGAGGCGCGGTCTTACCATTTTTCCTGCCAGTTTTTGCTGGCGTTTGATTTTTTTCGCTTTCTTTCTATTGATTTTCTTTGGAATCTCCTCGCCATCTTCGCTGACGTTCTTCTTTTTTCTCCGAACTTGTTGCCGCTCATCTTCCCTGCTAATCATTTTCGTTTTACCTGTGACCGGGTCAGGAACAATATCGACATTGTACTTATCTTCAAATTTCGACTGCTGGATCCTCTCCTGGAAATAATTGGTGTCACAATCCTCCCATCACACACATAAACAAAAACATCAAAATAGAACACTTTCAATATAACGTTGATAATATATTAGCATTATGCATACAATGGTGATAGTCATCTACTACGTTTGTGGATAAACCGGTTTGTATTCCTAAAACTCAAAGTGTCGTTACAAGTCCTTCAAGCCATCAAAGGTTGCCGGCCATGAGGTTTCCCAGGTCCAAGCACCCTAAGGGCATCCCAGGTCTCGGCACCCTAAAGGCGTCCCATAGATCATCCGCACGGATATCTTGGCGCACACTGACCGCCTCCTGATCCCATCGTCAGTATCCAGAGCATTATCAATTATCCCTAAAGGTTCTCATATCCCTAGAGGTTCTCGGGAATCCATCCTTGCCAGTGTGTTGCGAGGAGAAGGAAAGGCTCTTTGATCATTAGCTCCTACAGCCTCATGAAGGTGTATGGGATGTTCCTCCGACGCCTTTTGACGAGCTTGGCTGTGGTCACCATTAGGGTCTATAAATGATCAGCTTCCCGCTTCTAAAAATCGTTTTTTTCACAACATTCTTTCCATGTCTGGATGGGGCTGGTTTATGGTGCGCAGATGTATCGAACGCTCGCGTGCGAAGCTTGGAATGGCGGAATTTTGATAAATACATCCAAACTTGAAAGCCATATCCCATGTACGATTTCGCACGACCCCAAAACCCTTACAATATCGTGAAAACCGGAAGCATGGTAACTAAAAATCTGCAACCTGGTGCACCTGCAGACGTGGCAAGGTGACGAACATTCGGCAGAATGGCCCTCCAGAACAATCATCACATGTCGACAGGAAGAAAGAAGTACCAGTCGGCACCACCCACGATATGTTATGATCCGCAAATAGGGTGAACATTTTGAAGCCACTTCTTCCGGAAAGCTGCATAATTACTTTCCTCATCAGTCGTCGTGGCAATAGCATTAACATATTTCCCATCTTATAACAACAGCTGTCTGTGCTTGTGTTCGAGACTTCACGACACACTAAGCTCCTGAGGCTATATGGCGTCGCCTGCCTCTAACCCTGGCCGAAGTACCGCAAGAAACCGACACTTGCACCTCTTGTTTCCCAGACGTGCAGCTTAACCATTACATTAACGGGACTCTTGAAAGAACTCTCAACGCAGCTTTGGGTGATGGCGTTTCTCGTTACAAGCGATTAAGCACACCAGGTTCAAAATGTAAGCGCAGTCCATGCGAGGCGCATTTGCGATGATACAATTTTTTTTTGCTTTTTGTGTGTGGGTGTGTGTATTTTTCTTGTTTTGGTAAAGGGAGTAGATCACGCCCCTTACCTTCGTCATTTTCTCCACACGACGCAGAAATTTGAAATCTGATTCATTTGGTCTCTGCTCGAACAAAGGGATGGGCTTCAGTGGGCGAGACATGCCTTTTTCTGGGGTTTCAATGTCGACAAAAGCTTTCGACGTGATCCGACTGAAAAGCATAGGAAACAAGCATTTTGGACAAACACAAGTCAATGCTGACACATGTAAAACAATGCATTGTGGAAATCCACTAAGTGCTTATCTCACATCCTGCATTATTTTTCAACAGTCTAGTTCCAAAATTTTAAGTAAGCTGCATGGAATACCATCATATGTAAAAGCCACATTGGTGCAGGTTGCATTGCTTTTGTTCAAGCTCATCCAAGATTCTGTCATTTATCCACATAGTACACACAGACTTCAAAGTATTGGGGAGAAATAAGGGATTGACTGAGTAAGAAACAAAACAATCAGTCCGTGAAGTCGCGAAAACCAAGCGACAATGACAAAACATGAGCAGAAAGCAAAACACCTGACGACAAGGAGTACACAGCAAGAAGACCATTTATAAACCTTCCAATACATGGCTGCATTGGATGAGTGTGAAAAAGAAGTAAGCCACCAAAAATTATTGGAGAGGGAAGAACTCCCCTGGGACCAAAAAGTGAGAAATGTGACTTTCCCACCATTGTTTTGTGGTGGCTCTCTCCTTTCACCTTCACCTCAGCTCTATCAGCAACCATAGATGGCCTGCAGCAGAAAATTTGGGAGTCTGGTCTTATTGCATGGGTTCTGTCACTGTCATATCGTGGCCTCTCCACCCAGGGAAGTTATTCATCACCCACATATGGGGATTGGTGGCCACTTCTGACTCCTTCAGAATGTCCTAATACATACTGGAGGCTTTCTGCCAGCTGGAGTAAAGGAGTTATTTGATAAATCACTTACCCATTTTTCAGTTGCTTCCTTCTTTTTTTGTTGTGCATTTTCATCCCATTACATTCTCCATCTACCAGTTTCATCATATCCTGAACTTTCCTTGGCACAAACTCATCCTCAGCACTGGTAGGCTTCCTGTTGAAGATTTTTCCTCGGTCCCTGTGGAAATTAAAATATGGTCAAAATTATGTTAGAAGTCAGCTGTAAAAGTTATTTTGGGGGCACAAGAAAATTAGTATTTAGGTGTCTATTCAGTGGAGGACAATGGTGGCCCACTCACATGTACTCAGGTGGTCAGTTGAACACCCTCCACTTGGGTGGAAGGATAATTTGAACCCCCCCCCCCCCCCTGAGACCTCATAAACTAAGATGGCTAGAGACACCAGATTCACAGGATGTTTTGGCCTGTATGTAAAATCACTTGTGTACAAATTTGATGTTTCTAGGTCATGACATTCCAGTTAAGTGGGGTCAAACAAGGTCATATTGCAGACTAGTGCCCAGTGTCCCTAGACCTTCTCATGCAACCATCATGAACCTAGATAACTGCTCTAAGCAATGCTCACAGGTGCTCACTTAAGGTTAGTGACCTGGTGATCTTTCAAAGGTCACGGTGAACAAAATCATACCAGACTGCTTTGATTTTTGCATTTCAATAAGCATCACAGATTATGCTATATAGTGTGTTCCTAAAACAAAATATTGACCTGGGTCATTTTAGTTCTGTGACCTCTTTTGACATTTAAGGAGTCCATGGAAAACATACAACACAGTTCATGTAATAAATTAGTTCAAAATGAGTGCCCGAAACAATCCCACACAGTAATCTCTTGAGTGATAAAATAGGTTGGCCTTGACCTTGGTTTGACCCTCACACCTGACCCTAGGCAAATGGAATTTGTTAATTCAATTGTTAATTTGCCTAGAAAACTATCCAAGATGCATGGCTTTGTTCACACTCCATTGTTGCACCAGATTCCCTTGAGAGATTCCCAAGAAATTGTCTTTTTTGAGTCTGTGGCCTGAATTTGACCTGCTGCAGGTCAGTGACCCTGCAAGGTATGTATCAATTTTTATACCAAATGATCCTCTACTGAATTGTTTAGGGCTATGAAAAATTTGGCACAGCCACACTGGGCTGGTCGGAAATCATTCTGGAGAAGCCTTTGGGGAGGGTCAAGTTGACCCCAACAGACCATGTGTTTAGTATAGAAACTACCTTACTTTCAAGTTGGTCATGCTTAAACACACTGCTGGGCACCAGTATCAAATCTGGTTGAAGCTTGAAATCTATGAAGAGCATGGTCCAAAGGGAATGGAGATAGCATGGATGGAATCATTGTTCAGACTGCTATCCTTGTCTGGTGTGTTGCTGTGTGCACAGCATTTTGACCAGTTAACTCTCTGAAATTGTCAGGTATTATGGAGTTTTGACACCGACTGGATGATGCCTGACTTTCAGCCATGCATGCATCACAACCTGAATTACCTCCCTGGCATTGCTGGAATCTGACAATGGGTCAGCTTGATTATGAGTCTGGTGTTCTACCAACTGAGAAATCCAGGCAGTGAAAATTATCATGAGTTAGCTCAGTTGATAGAGTACTGGACTCACAATCCAGAAGACCCTGCTTCAAATTCCTGCAATTCTGAGGAGACAATTGGGTTGTGATGCATGCATGACTGAGAGTCAGGGATTATCCAATCCCTTTTGGGACTCCATACCACCTGGCAGTGGTCATAGAATTAACTGGTCAAATGTTGTGCACACACTAGCACACTAGACATGGATGATGGTCTCAAAAATAATTTCATCCTTCCATCCATGTTATCTGCATTCTCTTGCACCATGTTCCTCATGTATTTTCCATCTCAACCAGATTAGATACTGGCACTTGCCAATTTGTTTTTAAGCATGAATAGCTCAACATTGAGGTAGTTTCTATATTAGCTGGGCCATGTGATACTCAAGCATTGTTCAGCACTTCTCAGGACTCTATAATACCTAATAACTATTGTAGAGTTCACTGACCAAAGCATTGTGTAAATAATGAGATAATTAACTGGCTGAAACATCTATAGATACTAACACATCAAACAAGAACAATAGTCTGAGCAATTATTTCATATGTAATATCCACACTTTGCCCCAACCCTTTCAAAACTCAGAGTACATGTAACCCAGTTCCATTCCATTTGATAGCATGCAACACAACAACTTAACTTTACAAGGACAACATCATTTTAGGGCTTAGTAGATTAACACTGGTAGTCCACTCCCTAGTCCTGGACCCCTATCTGACCATAGAACCTCAAATGTTGGCCTCACTCAAACAATGGTGATTTTTGGGATCCATTTCTAGCATTGATACCAGTTTTATTATTTTAGTATACAACATGTACACAATAATGATGATAATTTTGGCTTTGGGGTATACCACACATTTTGGTTGAATATTGTGACATGAAAGTCACTTCAGCAGTTGTTTCCCACAGAATACTCATTCTGTAAATATGTTCAAGAAATCCGCAATTTTATCTTCTTCACAGGTTTCAACCTCCACTAACCTCTCTCTCCTGATAGCGTACGGATCTTTAATCTTGGTCGCCTTCTTTCCGTGGGCGCGTTTTGCCATTACAAAGATGCTAGATTTCTTAGATGTACGATGACGCCAGCACCAACGCGAGCAACAACACAAGTACGTTCAGAAGCAGATACTTTCAGATATTCAAAACTCGATTGGTAGCCCACATACACCGGACAGCACCACAGAACAGTAGAAGCACAAAACGAGTGCACACCGGCCTCGCGCAAACGGCCTTGGCGCAAACTCAGCATCGCTGTCGAAAGTCGCATGTGCGCTGCGATGTGTCGAATGGGAAGAGCGAAACTTGAATTGTGCTAATTGGCTGCAATATACTTATTGTGTTGTGTGCGCGACTCCTCACACCATGAAGACTAAGTGACTGATGATAAGATTTGGTGCATGTTAAATTGCAAGCCCAAATGCTACACTGCCGCTAGAAACATAACAAAAATCAAGGCATTCGTGTTGATAGATCTCGTTGTGGATAGATCTAAGCTGTTGGACCCGTTTTAACTCATTGCCATGATAAGAAATGGCAATCATTGCCAATTAGTCAGCTCCCAGAATCGGTTTATTGACCTCAATCTTGACATAATTATGCAACTTATTCTGTTCTCCTATTTCTTAAACTAATTTTTTTGCATTTTACACATTTCATTTCACCCAGTCACAACTCGTCATACAAATATGATCATTGATGATGTTGAGAATAGAAAAATCAATAGGCCGTACATTTCTTTCATAGGTTTTATAATATTAATTTCATACCTATGAATTAATAGCAACATTGAATTAAAACATGAGTGAGATAAATGAGATCATCACAGATAACAACCCGGTTCAGTCATTAATAATTTATGGATAGCATTAAAATATCATGAAGGATGAGTAATAAGCTTGTTTGTAAAAGTATTATAACATTCTTGATCTCCAGCAGAATTCGCAACTTGACCGCCTTTGTGTTGAATCGAATCGAAGAATGTGGGCTGCGCGATTTTGCGTCAAGTGTCCAGTACCTTGTCCAGTAGGGTGTGTTGTATGCCGGGTCGGGGGCCGTTAAATGTACCGCGGTTTGTGCTGTGGTTTTGGGGCGCAGATTTCACTCAACTTGCAGAAATGAAATCGATGACGCATTTTCGTTACGATGGAGAGTCTGTGGTGGGGTTCATAGATGGATGGGGTTCAAAGGTAAGGTTGGAAAATTGATGACTATGCATATCGGTAGCGGGGGTGTAGTTTCCCTTGTTTAATTTCCAGTTGGAATGACTTCTCTGCCCTTCCCCCCCCCCCCCCCCCCCCCGACTTCAGGGCTTCTGACTCGCGCCCCAACCTCTCATTTGAAAAGAAACTAGGGCAAATATGGGTATTAACTCGTGTGTGGCGTATTTTTGGATGGAATGGGGACGTTTTTTCACTTCACCCTCCCCCTTCCCCCACTCATTTTGGTGAAACTACGACCACGGTAGGTAGGTAGGTAATAGACTGGCGAGTGATAAGCGCCGACCCGCCTACAAACCGTTGGACGATTTGTTGCTGCCCCCAATGATCAGACATTAAGGCATCTCAAAACGTCCATCGTTGACGCCACTCAGGTTTCGACACGAGACACCTCAAGCTTCTCGCAAAATAACCTCTGACGGTCGCGCGCCCTAAACTCCAAACATTATCATCTCAAAACACATCGTTGACGACCCTTGTACGCCTTGTAGACTGGAGCATGTGGGGGTGGGGGGGGGGGGGGGGGGGTCAAAGGCAAGGGCTGGGCGAATTCTTCCTGAGCTAGCAGCGGCCGGACTTGTAGTTTCCGCAAAGTAAGTTGGGCGGGGGGGGGGGGGGCGGGGCAGCTGGGAGTGGAAGTGAATAAACCCACCAAAACTATATATATATATATATATATATATATACACCTATGTGTGTGTGTGTGTGTGTGTGTGTGTGGTGTGGTGTGTGTGTGTGGATCACGTGCATGCATGTGTGTGTACTTGGTAAACAAAAATTCGTGTTGAAGGATTGCTTAAAAATGCACGTTGCTCACTTAACAAAAAAGTATGTTGAAATATCCATGAAGCTCGGTAGGTTTGGCATAATGCAATCTCTCGTTGCAGGTATCACTCCTTTGGACTTTATAATGAACGCCGGCGCCATCCCCTTGATGATCAGGAGGTCACGCAACCGACCAGAGCCTCCGGAGAACGTGATACCCACCGTGGCGCCACACCTGCTGCGTTTCCGGCGGACAGCGCGTTGCAGCGTCCGTGTGCGGTCAAGGAGGAGGCAGTTTCTCGCCGCCAGCCCGCCTCCCCCGGTCCCCATCCTGTCTGCGCCGCCCGAGCCCGCCGGCGTGCCGTGCTGCCGCCGTGGCAGACGGGTGTCCTCGCTCGCTTCGAGCTCGGCCACCGAGACGGCCCGGAGCTCGTGTTCGGACGACTCGAGCGGCAGTCTGAGCCTGCCAGACACCTATCTTGCCACGTGGCGTGGTGCCCCGCCACGCTGGCCACGTCGCTGTGCGTGTGTCGGACGGAGGGCGCCCCACCTGCCGATGGGCTGTGACCTGACAGACGCCGCCTCGGCCATGCTCCAGCTGGGCCACGGCGCGATGTCACCGGTCCAGCACGGCGACGTGCTGTCGCCCTACCGGGCCGAGTGCCGGCCATGGCCGGGCTGCCCCAGCAGCAGGCGGCCGCCAACGTGTCGGCGTCGCCTGACGGGCTGGCGGGCCGCTCGTCCGACCTGTCGTTCGTGTCGCCGTTGCTCGGTTGTGAGATGCTGTCGGAAGCTGATATCCCGCTCCAAGGCGAGTACGTCGTCGGTGAGATGGGTGATGCCGGTGCCGGACTGCCTGAGGACGTATTCCCCTGTCCGGAGGAGTGGCACAGCGACGGCTCCCTGCTCAGATACGGCGATCACGTGGAGACTTCGTCC